TTTTTAAACAAATCTAAAAGTATCACATTTTTGTTTTTCTATATATTCCATTACATTCCAAAAAACGAAATAAAAATCAAGAAAAACAAATATAGCCAAGACAACCAAACAAAATTATCAATATAAATCTAAAACACCATATCAAAAAATACAAACAAAAAAACTTTTTAAATAAATCTAATTAAGTTGGACATTTTTTAAATTATTGCCTTCCTTTAGTAGGCAATCGGCCCTTATTTGCCAATAACGTTTCTCTTCTTTTGCTGCTTCCATTTTAACATTATGCAATTCTCTTTGCTGTTCCATTGACTCCTCTAGCTTTATTTTTCCTTAAGGCAGCCTCTTCGTCAATGTGAGTATATTTTGTTCTGTTTTCCTTATTGAATCTACCTCGTTTCCTTTTTTTAAATTCACCAGTATCTTTTTTAATGCTTTCATTGCCTTTTTCTACAGTTACTCCTGAAATAATAACTTGTCAGTATAGTATAATAAAGTAAAAAAAAATAAGTACTTTTATAATCATGGTCATCAAGTATGGTGAGTGAATGAAAACTATACGCCCCGGGCTCCTTGTGGGTTGTGTGTACGTTTTTTGCTGCCTCAAAAAGAGCTATGCTGTCAAAATTGTTTTTTATTTCAAAATCAATAGTAGGAAGTATTGCTCGAACTTGCTCCTCAATGGGGTCATTATTGTCCTGAGGTGGAGGACCTCCACCAGTCTGAAGTGTATAATTTCTTCTTTCCGTGTCTGATTTTCGAGTTCTACAAATAAAAATTGCAATTATTTTTATATTTATGTAGCTAAATTTTGAACCTACCTTTGTTTCATATTGTCCCACAGTTTTTTTAACTGTTTACAATTTCTGGGCGTTACATCATTGGAGTTGTAAGTGGCACAAATTGTATCCCATGTTTCTTGTTTTTTCCTTACTGACACACCGTCCGTTTTTTTACATTCAATTATTAGTTTAAACTGATCAACTAAACTTATCAGTAAGTTTTTTTCACCTTCTGAATAAAACTTATTAGACATTTTTGTGATAAACTTCAACACAATTCCAAACAAATAACAAATGACCAAAATAACCAATAAATGTCATTTAATGTAGCTACGTTCACGGTTCACGCTACGTCGAACGTTGACAAAAATCTGACAGAAAATGCGACATTGCCATATCTTAATTCTTCTTAAGGTTGCCTTACTGAAGGATGGTAATTAAACACACTATTAAAGAGAAATTTCGAGGAAGACTTAAGGTCACCTTACCTAATGCACTCTTGAGTGTTCCTTCAAGTATCGACTATGAATACGGCCCTTAATCCCTTATTTGAGCTGTCGTTTGACACATGTTTACCTATTATTGAAATATTAGAGGACAATAGATGATACTGGAAATTCCTAATATGATTTAATTCCGGGAATTAAATATTTTATTGTTCGTTATTAAATAACTTATTTTTTAATTGGCATAGTTCATTTTTAAATTCAGCCAATAAAACTATTATCTTTGTATATGTTCTGAATTTAACAAGTATTGTAATGATTTAGGTTTTTTTAATTTATTCTTATATAGGTACAATAGTAGTTTATTTATGGCCATATCGCACGAAGACGAAATTTGAACACGACGCCGTTAGCGGAGTGCTCCTCAATCGTCTGAGTTTGATGTGGATAATCCACTCGAGTTGTACAGCATATTTTTTCTGCGACTCACTAATAAAAATCTAAAAATAGTATTAAAAATTATGTTTTGTTATTAAGATAAAATAACTAATTTAAACTTTCACTAGTTTATAAAATATAATAAACAAGAAAAAAGGCAAGTGCTCTGAACTCACTACCATCGAGGTGCTTAAAATTTTTTTCTTTAATACTCGTAATTAAATTGACTTTATATAGTTTTATTAAAATTAACGAAATATTTATAATTATTATAGACCAAACAAAAATAGAAATGCTATTATTATTTATCGAGTCTACACAAGAATAACTCATTTTAATGTATATTTAATCTCAATAACTAAACATTTTTTTAATGACAATTAGTTTGACAGAAATGTTACTTATTTAAAATTTTATAAATAATAGTAGTTGGTTGATCAAAATAGGAACTGTGATTGGTGGATTTTATTTTTTGTAGTGTTCTTACTACCTAGAATGGATATGAAATATATTCGTTCAACTGAACGCAATACCATTCTTTTTCGTTTTGTACTCTATGCGTAAATAATCTAATATCCTTGTGAGTATAGAAAAAAAATAATTTCATTTCTTTCACTATTATACTAACTTTCTTATATTATCAGCTTACACTATATAGTAGTTTTGTGCAACAAGAGTGGATATGATGGCTATATCGCACGAAGACGAAATTTGAGCACGACGCCGTAGGGGCGTGCTCAATCGTCTGAGTGCGATGTGGACAATCACTTGAGTTGCACATATGTTACAAATAAAAAAAATATTTTAGGTTATTAAGATAAAATAACTAATTTTAAAATAATTTATAAATTTTACGGATTTTTAAAATCAAATAAATATAAAAAAAATCGCCAGCCGAGAATCGTTCACCGGCTTTTCGCGTGGAAGTCAAGCACACTGCCACGCGCCCACGTCCACTTTTACGATTTTGTTAAATTTATTTATTTTTTTAAAAATATGGTTCAAATAAAAATAAAAATGCTGTTATTTACGATTATTTATCTAGTCTACACAAAAATAACTAATTTTATTGTATATTTATTCTCAATAACTAAAAATATACTGACAATTAGTTTGACAGGATTGTCACTTATTTAAAATTTTAAAAATAATAGTAGTTGGGTATCCAAAATATGAACTGTGATTGGTGTATTTCATTTTTTTGCAGTATTCTCACTACCTAGAATGAATATGAAATATATTCGTTCGGTTGAACGCAATGACATACTTTTTCGTTTTGTAGTCTGAGCGTAGATAAGCTAATATCCATGTGTGTGTAGAAAAAATTAATATTGATAACGTAATAGCGGATACTTTTTTGGATTTGCATCCCAATTGTGCAAATAAATTAAAGGTATAGCCATTATTGTAAATATAGATTCAGGATATTAAAGGTTGCATGGTGTGGCTAATTAATTTAAATGCTTTGGAAACATTGTTGAACTTGATATTATTGTAGGGTCCCATTACAATTAGAAGAACACAGCTACGTCATCATTTGGCAACGTAATTAATTGGTTATCGCCGCCTATTGGGGGTTTAGTGGAGTGTTAATATATAAATATAGGAAATATTGTTTAACACCTAACAACATACTTAATTATTGTTTATTGAAAGTTATAGATAATATGCATTCGAAATTCGAATACATATTATCTATAACTATTTATAAATAAAAAATAAGTAAGTTGTTAGGTATAATACTATATTTCCTAGATTCCTATAATATTAACCCCAGTAGGCGGCGATAATTAATTAACTACATACTGTGCCAAATGATAACGTAGCTGTGTCCTTCTAATTGTAATCGGACCCTAGTAGATAAAACTATTTTAAATGTTGTATGAGGTGGTGTTTGAGATTATAAACACAGGAAGAAAAAAGGATTGTTTTTTTATAAGAAAGAATTTAAAAACCAGCTGCTTTAGAGATCAAAAAAAATATTTTTTAAAATAAAACACGTAGCTACGATTAAAGTAAATACTGATTTTTTATAACAATAATAAATATATAATGTATTGTTGTTCTTGCACAAAACCCAAACAGTTTGTTTACTTGCGTGACAGAGTACCTAATAACTCTAAGCAACAATAAAAAAATAATTAAAGGCAAGATTCCAATTTTGTCGAACATTATAAACATTTCAATAATTTTTAAGTTATCCATTTTCTATCCCAGTATGTCATTAAATATTTTCAAGGTACCATTTCTCAAGACGAGACCGACTTCAAAACGCGACGCGACAGCGTGAGACCAAAAGCGGTCTCTTCACGTCTGAACACGTAATTATACATTTCGGTAGACGAGACCGACTACAGCAGATTTAGTATGGCAATATATGCCGCCTTACTGCTGTCTCGGTCTCTTGTCTTTTGTCGCTCGTTCCCAAATGGTACCTTAAGTCTTCTTAATCCAAGGGTCCGCGATTAGAACCCCACCGTTAGCAGGGATTTTTTTAATTTATTTATTTATTTAAAAATAATTCTGATCCATATGTAGGATTCTCCACTCTAACCATTCACTGTTGGGTTATAATTGCCAGTGCTGATCCTAAAATGGCGATGGGAAACCGTGACAAGGCCTGTCTGTAGGCGTGTATTAAAGTACTAGCACTCCTGCAATATGGAGTATTAGACTACTAGTTATACTACTAGCGATATTAACTTAAAATTTTTAGTAAAAATTAAGCTCTATAAGGGGATAAAGCCTATTGATTCTGAACAAAAATTGAATAAAATGGAGGGTTAAGGAGGATCTGTTAAACTGTGAAGAGTATAATATAGAATGCCAAGCATTATATATTATTCTGTGAAACTACATACTGAAAGATTTAAGAATTTTAAATAAATAAGTGACATTACTTGTTATTTTTTTTTTGTTGTCAAAATAAGTTAGTTTGCTTACTGATAATTCTGTGGTCAATTGGATTAAATTGGAATATAGGTGACATCTGACTAAGGAAAAATCAAAATAATGTGTTTTAAATTATAAGAAATGACCATGATATACTCTTTGCTCAGACAGTAAAAATAAAACTAAAAATTACTTACTTTGAATTGTATCAGACCCATAAAAATCCTTGATTGGAGAATTGAATATCTAGTAGCGGTTTAATCAGTTGTTAGGCAACGAATTTGTTGAATAGGGGGACTCCATTTTGTCGTTTTGAGGAGGAGAGTTGTAAAATTTTGAATCTAAAATTAATTTGAAAGATTTTATAGAATAATTCATTTATATAACTTTCAATCTATTATTAAAATGTACCGTAGTAATTAAGGATCAATTTAAGCTAAATTTCATGAAGAAAGACAGGTAAATAAACAAATTTACTTACCAGGAAAACTCATATCGAGACCGGCGTAATAGAAGCACGGCCATTAAAGGAAATCTGACTCTGGATTCTGGTTTATGCGTGGGAACCAGACAGTGGATTCTCCAGAGTGCAAATTACATGCACTATTGTGACTTTAAGTTTTAACTTTTCATTGTGAAGAAACACATCACACACCAATAAACTATAGTATTTTATACTTAGAAAAGTTATATTAAATTTTTCTAATAGTGAAACGAAAAAAAGGTACTACTCATTTCATGACATTTTGCAGATCGCATTGCATTGCATCAGTGTGATTTGTATAGAAATTTAAAAATAATAAAAATTTGTTATATGTGGTAACTACCTTCGTTATGAATATAAGTTTTCTATTACCCAATAGAGGGCGCAAATACCTACTATTATACTCGACGTCATTTTTTGTCCACTATATTTAAGTCACATATCTGCAGATTTATTTTTGGAAAATAAAAACTCATTGAGAAATTTATAATTTTCATGATAAGTAAAATAACAATGAGGATTTATTTCTAATTTAATATTATACGATTTATATTATAATTGTTTGGTTTTTATTTGGAAATTGAAATTTAAATAAATTTTTTAACTTGATTTTTATATAAATGAATTTTATTAAAAAAATATATACAGGGTCAACAACAATATTAACCCATTAGCGCCGAGAAAAGAAAATTCTTTTAGAATGCAATAATTTTATTTAAAACTATGTTAAAACAACTTATTATTCTTAAATTTACGCAGAAATAAAAAAAAATCTTGTTTTTTTTTGGAAAAAAATGGTGGTCCCATATGGGACCACTAGGCGTTTCCCAAGATCAAATATGGAAGAAATTCATTAATTTGTTCCATTTGTATGAAATTGTTTAAAACATGAAATACAAAGCCCAACGTTGCATTTTTCGCACATTGTACGCCCTTTTGAACTGCAAGATGGCATGGCGCACCTCTTTCTTTTGCCCTCAGGTACAGATATAATCCAATGATCCTTGCGGTCAAACCTGACGCAATCAGACACTCGAAAATCACTTCCCGATGCTCTACCTACTTTTCCAGTTCTTTTAGCGGGGACTTTATATGTTGTTAAGTAGGTCTAAAAATTTAATTAATTGTAAACATTTTCTGAGTTTATATTGATATACTCTTACCTGACAAATACTTCTTCTAAACTCTAAGAGGCTAATATTCTTCCCTGATTTCCGACATATCGTCCAAGCATTTTGGACAGCTGCGTCGATGAGGTATGTAAATATTGGCCAGTACCATTTTTTGGAACGTATGCCGATTCGATAACTAAAAAAAATTACCCATATATTTTCGTTTATGGAAATATTTTCTTTATAACTTACCAAGATATATTACTGTCCATGAGATCTGTTCCTCCCATGCTGTTATTATACTGCGAAAGAAGATATGGCCTAGGTACTTGTATAGTCTTGCTATCTTTTTTAGAAAATCTTTCTACATTTTTGACCGGCTGAATACCATAACATGTGCTTGCGACTGTTACAACCTTGTTGTCCCTCCAACGAACGTATTGAATACCAGTCTCCTTATTCAATGTCGAACAATACTCTCCTCGGGGCCTCTTTTCCATCGTCTTTTTAGAAACAAGTGGGCAATTTTTAGGAATTCTATTATCCCTCACAGTACCGGTAACATTGTACCCATTAGCTTTTAGAGTACTTAACAAGTTTGTACTGGTAAATAAATTGTCAACGAAAAACTTGTACCTCAGAGATCCTTTGTTACCCAATTCTTCGATCATCTGTACCAAGGGAGCTGTAGCTTTCCCGAAACTTTTTTGATATTCTTCATTAGATCTAGGGTTTTTTCCCTGATATACTTCAAAGTTTATCAAATATCCACTAGGTGTATTCATACACCACACCTTATAGCCAAATCTTACAGGCTTTCCTCTGATAAACTGTTTGCATCCGTGATGCCCAAAGTAGCGTATCATGGATTCATCGTATGCAATATTTTCTTCTGGGACAAAATGTTCTAAGAACGATTTTTTGATCATATCTGTAAGTGGTCTAAGTTTGTACATTTTGTCATTTTTATCTATATTGTTATTGTCTGCAAAATGAATAAAACGGCAAATTTGTAAAAACCTGTCCCGTCTCATGGCATCAGACACCAGAATATTTTGCATATCGGGGACTCTTTGCCAGTAGCTTCTCTTGGATGGTAGCTTATTGTATCCACTTACTAAGAGAATTGCAATAAATACTTTCAACTCAGGAAGTGTTACGTTAGGGTTCGGTTGATTTATAAATAGAGCATACTTTTCTGTTTCAGACAGTATTATTTTGAGCAACTCATCAGTAAAAAACAATTCAAACAGTTGCACACAACTCATCTCTGAATATTTACTGTAATTTCCTTGTGGAAAGTTGCGCGGTGTGTAATAAAGATCTCCGTCAATAAAAGTTGTTGGTTCTGGCAGAGACATTGTCAGTCGGCGATTTGCATCAGTTTTTATTTGATTGGAGCTATTTACGTTTTGTACCTCGTTATCGTCATAACTTGCTTCTAGGTCTGATTGTACAACTCCTAGACGTTCAGAGTCTGCAAATACAACTTCCGCACCAGCACGAAGTTGACGAACATTCAAGTTATCCGGGTTACCACCTTCGTCTTCGTCACCTGAATCCTCGTCCGTAAGAAAATTTGAATCAGGCGGCTCAAAAAAAATGTCTGTTACATCATCTTCTTCATATGCCAAGTCGATGGCTTCCTGTAGTGTCAGTCCACTAAAAATATAAAAATTCCAATTTTGACTACATAACCGCCTAGTGGGTCCATATGGGTACAGCAATATTTACACTAATTTTTAATTGTCACCGGTAATATTGATACAAAAATTTGTACACTACGTTTTATTTTAATACCTTTTAAAATATGTAAAATTGATTTGATCCTATAATTCCAAAAAAAAGGTTCTGAAAATATACTTACACCAATCGGATGTCCATTATGAAACACTTTTTACCACAACACGATTTTCTAACCTCCTTCACTTGAGAAATCTAACAAACAACTGACGAGTATTCACCAACGCGGGTCCAGACAAGTCTAAATTAAGTGTTCATGCTCTAAACGTAATTTTGGTTGCCTATTTTATTATACTTTTATTGTGTTAAACGATACGTTTACAACTGGGTCCATATGGTGACTGTAGGCGCTAATGGGTTAATACAAATAAATAAAAGGTAAATTAAACTTAAAATGATAATTTTATTGTATGGGAACCGACTCCTGGGATGAGAGCATATCTGATAATTTGATAAGTGTTTTTAATAAAAAAAAAAAACAGCCGGAGTTGAATTAATTTTTATAGGAGGATATTAAATATAAGGCGCTCAACAAAACAAGTAAATTAAATATTGATTTTTTTTAACAATAAAAAAATTATTTAAAGAAAGATATAAAAAACAATAAAAAAATCAATATAATATCTTTATTCTAGTTAAAGGGTTAATGAGCGTACATTGAATTGTATATATCCCAATTTCTTTCTCTTTTGATTTTATATAAAAATTACCTTGATGCCAAAAATATCTCTCATGCATGAATGTCATAATATCGCTATACGTGTATGTAGGTGTCTGATGGTATCTGATGGTATCTGTGTGTCTGTATCCACGATACCTCAAAAATGTATGCAGAGAAAAACAATAAATTTAAAATTTAAGCTTTAATCCATCCTCTAATGAGTTGATTAGATTTTGGGCATATACAGAGTCGTTTTACTGCTTTAAGGAATATGTCTGTTATTTACGCTTGAAGAAAAAAATTCGTCAAATTAAAGTTTCTAGTGATATAAAATTCAATTAAAAAATAAATGAGAAAAGTATGTAGGTATTTGAATTTTGACCTACCCTGTACAGATTTGTTTCGAATTAAAAAATATTGCATCCGCATAAAATGTAGACTAATATCGAAACTATTTTATTACAAAAGATTGGAATTGTTTCTTTTGCAGTATATTGAGATTAATACGATTTTCATATAAAATTGGTATTAGCGTATACTCTGTATGATCTCATACTATTTGGTATTGTTATAATGGGAAAAGCGAGGGCAATTAAAATATAAAATAAAATAAAGGGCATTCCATTTAAAAAACCTAACTTTGATATGTTTCACTTTTTTGGAGAACCCTGTATGATTAAAATTATTTTTAAATTGTTATCTTTTCGGACATACATCTCGTTGTGAAAACAAATTTAAAAAAAAATCAAATAGCTCTACAGACCGAAGCGTTGCCCATCCTGTACATAAGTCATTACCTTATAAGGTTCATTTCTCAAAATTTCAAATAGACATATCTGGAAAGACTTTCTGACTTGTTTGTTTAAAGAAAACAAAATATTAAAAAGTACCTAGGGAGAAACACATATACTCGTATAAACTTAGCCAAAAATATTAAACTTTGGTAAAAAGTGTTGTTTTATTTATTAACTAGGTATTTATTATTAAAATTAAAACCAATAATTACAAAGTAGGGCAGTAAGTTAAATTTCATTCGCAAATAAACCAATTTTTTAACCATATTTTGTTAATAATATATTGAATTATTTATTTAATTAATTTTCAAAACGCTCGTATAAAAATTGTATTTATTCCGGCCCTGTTCCACATCAAACTTTTACAATAATACACATAACAAAGGTTTTATAGCGCCATCTGTGAAATTACCTTGAGCTTCTTAGTGCACAGATTTCTACAAGCTTTGCATGCGGCGTATACCATCTTTCATCTGCGTTGTACCTAGCCGATTAGGTGAATTAATAATTAGCTTTTATTTCAAACCAAGCTTTCAGGAAAACCGAACATTATTTTGAAGTGCGATTTGTTTCATTTATTTGATATGTTAGTTGTATGGGTGGTAACGAAAAGAAAACGTCTAAATATGTTTAGTTTTAAAGTAAATACGTCGACAAGTCGAGGGTTTCTATGTGGTTTGGATACCGATGATCAAAGTCATTTTTCGTGTATTTTTAAAAAAAAACTCCGTTCCTTTAGATTTCTTTACAACCCGTAGGCATAATTCATGAACTGATTGCTATATTAAAAGTAATGCTACGAAGTATACTTTTCCCGAAAGCTTCGTCAAAAGTAACCTCTGCATATACGGGGAATTAACATGCTGAATATTAACGCGGAAGAAAGGTCTATAAACAAATCGCAAACCAGCATGTAAATTAATCATTAGCAAACCTGAATGTCACAAAAATCTTCAGATATTCGGGTACATATTTGCTCTGCATACTGCAGATAGTTTTCTTACATTTACTTGTGCGTTACAATATACAACCCCGAACTGAGTGGGGTGTTAAAACATTAAGTCTTAGGCAATTTGGATCATTTTCAATATTTCTAAGTTCATGTGTAATTACGTGATAACAGTTTAAACATAATCTTACTTCTTGTAGATTATCGATTGCAGGATGTCCGGCAGCTTGTCTTCTTAAATTAGCAACGTTAAGCACATATAAATTATGGTCCTCGTCTAAACGAAGTGAGATATGTTGACTTACCTCGTTATGTCCGTATTCATTTAATTTTTAATTTTGTTCCGGATGAGATAAGTTGACTTGTATCTAATGGAACATTCTATAGGAGATATTTAAACATACCTCCTTACGAACGTCCCTAATTGATGCGTCTTTGTTCGATCTGACTTATCTTCTTTGGCCCAAAGCAAGGTTTTGATAAATACATCCAAAATCAAGACATATCTCGTTTTGAGCAAAAATGGACTTATCTCCTTTTTCCCCGGCACCACGGAATTGTTATTTATTTGTAAACTTTCATGACACTAAAGTCCATCTAATCCAAAGATTTTGTCAAATAACAATATGGAAACTTTAAGGAACTCCCACGCGATTTGTCTGTTAGTTTGTCTGTTAGGTTCAGCCTTATGAAATAAAGTACGTGCTTGTTTAATGTAGTAGCCACGCTATTTTTGAATTATTTATTTTGCTATATTTTCATCTTTTTGTCTTGAACTTTTTTGGAACAGGATAATTTTAAACATTGAACTGCATTTAAATTATAATTTAATTTGTTACAAGAGTTAGTTACGGAATATACTGACCAAATGCCTCCTTACAAACGAAAACATCAAACTTGAAAGATGATATAACAATAATCAAATCGCTTTTTCTTAAAAATAATGGAAAAATAGAGTTTATACCGGTTTATACAGGGAAATTGCGTATACCTATATATTACCAAGATACAGAATAATTTATCCCTACCCCTAACTAATGTGCATTTCCCTATGAATCACGCTATGTTCAGAAAATGGCTGATAGCCCTTGAGACATTTGATGCAATCAAAGATGGTTTCCATAACTGCTTTTAAATAATTTTCGACCAATTAGTCGGATTTAGACAATATTTTTTAATCATTTTTATTAACAGAAGACTTGCCTCATTTTCATTCCTTTTTTCTTCCAACAAATGTCTTTAATACAAGTTTTGGGAGGAACCAGCTTTTTAAGCCGTTTTTGTTAAGTCGTGATTATGTCGTTTGAAGATTATATTCTTATAGTAATTAAAATGTAGTAGAAGTAATTTTGTATGATTCTGCAGATACCTTTTCCTAACAATGGTTTGCTGAAAGGCGTCCTCTATTGGTGGTACTGGGCAAATGTGTGATTTCATTAAATTTTTCTTAACCATGATTTGAGTCACGCTACTAGATACGCATTAACTTTGCTCATAACATTTAGGGAATAGCTAATTTCAGAAGTCTTTTCTCCCCAACAACGAGAGGGAATAAACTATGCCTATGCCAGGATTGAGTAATGTCACCATCGTATAAGATCTAGTATGAATTGGAACAAATTTATTTCTTGATTGTATCAACACTTTTGCAAAAATATTTTCCTTTTAGTAATGCAGCAGTTGCAGTAGGAATACATCAGAATTTCTTAATCCACAAAAAACACAATGCATCTTTTTTAAACATCCAAATTCACAAAGAGCCGCCCAACTTTCCCAGAACTGTAAATCTCCTGGGAGTCAGACCCGCCAAAGAGAGTGAAGTTGGCTATTTGGGAATGCGATTTTCTAGTACTCTCATCTGGTCCTCGGATGTCCAACGCACTCTTAATCAGATACGACGGCGAGCCAGTCTCATTGGAACCTTGAGTGGATGATTTGGACGAAGCAACCCTAATACTCTAATGCACACTTACAATACAAACTCTCTACACTCGAGAGATGAATACTCCGACGATACCAATCTATTTCCATTCGCTTTCCCAGCGAAAAAGTTTTCTAAAACATCTCCAATACCCCCATTCTTACACGTTTTCAAACTCTCAGGAAACAATACGTCTCCCGCACACTGACAGACTTAAATACACATTCCCAAAGTACTCTACAAACACCCTGGCGCCCTCAATGTCTTCAACTATTCCACAAACCGAAAAGAAAACTCCTCAACCTAACATAAGATTACTCTCTGTCTCTCAAGATCTCCCACTTACCTCAGAGTTCCAGTATCTATGGACTTTAGCACCATTATCTATAAGATAACGCGACCCATCCCAATCATATTTAATACAGCCATTGTCATACTACTGTACAATATCGTGATTTAGGTTTTCGTGGTTTCCCTAAATAATATTTCCCAACTTATAATATACACACAACCTGCCACGCACCGCAACAGGAGAACTCTTATAGCAGGCCTGCACAACTCAAATTTTCAAAGGGCCAGATTTGGAAAACCGTAACTGAACGAGGGCCGCCAAGAGAGGCCTGAGCCCACAATAGTTGGTTCAGATTTAAAACAAAAAAAAAAGGTCGACACCTTTCATTTATAAACCAACTCATGGATTTATCGAGCTTCTAAAAAAAAATAAAAAAAAAAAGTTGCTACCTTTATAAACCAACTCCTGCTGGTCAAACTTCTAAAAAAAAAAGGTCGACATCTCCTGCTTGTCGCTTGTAAAAAAAATGTCAACTGATCGAGTTACTAAAAATGAAAAAAATTTATAATTTGACGTAAGCGGGCCAAACTGTTCAATAGCTGGCGGGCCGCCAAAACTACACTAGCGGGCCGTATGTTTTGCACCCCTGTCTTGTACTATCCATCGGTTCCGGTTTATTGTTCAGCAATAATTGCATCCACTTCTTTGGGAGGATATCAAGTTTTGTATTTGCCTTTACAACTTTACAACTCACTATATATGGAATTACCATCTATAAGACAGATCCATCAGGAACAGAGCATATGCTTACTGTAACAGTATCTTCATACAAGTTAAAACTTTAGAATTTGAAATAATCCATGATTTAGGAACTCTAAAATTACCACAGTTTGCCTTCAATCATACGCGAGAGTCTGTTTTTTTATTAAATCTAATTCTATCATCATTAGCTACATAAAAATTTATTTTAGTTTTCCCCAAAAAATTAAGATGACGTTTAATGCCATTTTTATACATAATTATAGACTCTTCCCTGTTTTCGAATGCCATCTTTGTTTGTTCGATTTGCTCAAGGACAATTAACTATTACCTGCAATTTCTTTAACATACAGGGTTGGGATAAAGTATGGAACCACGTAAATATCTTTAAAACGAAAAGGACGATATTTATGAAACTTTGCAAGTAAGTACAATGACGCATAACGCATCTGATGCCATATTTTTTGTTACTACTGTATGTACTCCCGGTTTCACCGGAAATACTCTCAACTTTTGTAATTTAAAGGGAACACCATGTATATTTTTGCAGATTTTAAAAGATCTTGTTATTTCGAATTCGTACATACTAAGTTTAGTGGAAATTATTTGTTAAAGTAATTTTAGACTAATGAGAATAAAAGTTGAGGGTATTTCCGGTGAAACCGGAAGTACAGTAGTAACAAAAAATATGGAATCAGATGCGTTATGCGTCATTGTACTTGCCTCAAAGTTTCATAAATATCGTCCTTTTCGTTTAAAAGATATTTACTTGGTTCCATACTTTATCCCAACCCTGTATGTACCCCCTATTAAAAATGAAAAAGTTATGATGTCAATTTTTGGTAATCAGTAGATACAGGTTCTGGACTATAACTGTTTTATAGAACTCTAAAATTTGATGTTTTCGTTTAGCAGGAAAAATAATTCATAAAAATTTTATTTTAATTTGGACAATCTTCGTTTATTAAAGATATTTTTTTATTAATTGATAGTTCTTGTATGACACATTTAAAAATCAATAACTCTTTTAGGACGTTTCGAGAAAATGCCGCAGTGTTTCGTTTCCACATGCTCCAATTATTATGGAAAAACTCGCAAAAATTCCAAATTAATTTACCATATGCTGCCAACTTCTCCGCAAATGGTTTTAAAGTGGACCGAAGTGAGAAGACGAGAAAAATCCAACTCTTCACGCCGGAGTTTGCAACGCCCATTTTTCTGATAACTGTTATCAACGAGAATTACAACACGAGTTGCTTGGACTACCTTTAAGAAAAAAGTTAAAACATGATGCCGTACCAGACTTGAACTTGCCTGTTAAAATTAATAAACCGAAAAAACAAGTTCCTTAATCTGTAATTAGGTACAATCAAGTACAGAAAGATGCATGTGTTCCCACAAAAAATAAAATCAGTGAAAACAAAACTAAAACAAAAAAGCAACCAAATGTTGTAGCTAATATTAAAAATGAAATATCAAAAAATAAAAGTACAGGTAAAAAAGTGGTGGAAAAGCAACAAAATATTACCATAATTGACATTACTACAGACGAGCCAATAGTAAGACGAAAAAATGTGATAAAAAAGCTGCCAAATTTAACAGCAGTCAAACATAAAACAGAAATTAAACAGAATTTGGTAAAAACTAAAAGCAACGAAAAAATCATTGCCAAAAAACAGCTTAGCACATTAGATATGAATAAAATTATTAATTTTAAAACTGCAGAAGTGCAAAAAAGAAGCAAACCTAATGAAGATATTATCGTTTTTAAACATATTCCTATAATTGAAACTAAATTAATAAAACCCAATCCAATAAAAACTAGAAGCAATAAAGCACAGCAACATACTGTTGGTGATAATAATGGTTTTAAACAAATCACTGAAAAAGAAATAGTTTCCAAAAGTAAAGAACATAATGTAAAAAATACCAATACTAATTACCAAAATCAAGCATCAAAAGAAACTAATAATAGCAAATTGGAAACATTGGATAAAATTATTAAATATGATATTACGAACACTTTTAATCAAGAATTGCAGGACAATTTAATTGATCAATTCGATAAAAATAACGATAAAATAAAAAGAATGCCAATGAGGTCGAGTATTAGAATTGCGAAAAAGAAATCAATCGAGTCATTAAGTGATTCTTTTACGGATAAGGTCAACAATAAAAGAGACAATAATCGCGAACGATTTTCTGATAAACTCAAATTTATGGCCATGTTGCAGCTGAAATACGAAAAAAACAACCATGCTGTGGTCGATTTGGATCAATTTTTTGAATGTTTAGTCGACGAAGAGAATGTTGGGTAAGTTATTTGACAATAATTATTATTATTATTTTGTTTAATTATAGGTAATGTGCAATATATAAGCTTTACTATAATTTAAGAAAAATAAATGCATTAATTTAAATTTTATGTATTTTCCACTGTTAAATTTATAGTAAAATAATTTTAAAGGTTTTTCTACTGACTACTGTTTTCTAAATCTACCCTTACAAAATAAGACTACATATACTATTAAAATTGCATAAATAGGCAATGTTATTTTACCAAGACCGAAAGAATCTGTCCAAGAACACAAAAAGTCGTCTGTGCGTGCTTATGTATATATTGTAATGATTCTAATTTGTCGTTCATTACATTACAATTTACCAAACTCACTTTATTAAAACTTACCCCGACTAGCCTTTAATGTCCTTCTAAAAGTCGTATGTCAATAGAGCATATCGTCTTTATCCCAGGGGAGGTTCAAGTTGACAATCTTCACTGAAGAGATAATTATTTAATTTTATCAACTTTTAATTTAAATTTATTTAAATTTATTTAATTAATTTTAGTTTAATTTAGTTTAATTTAGTTTAATTTAGTTTAATTTAGTTTAATTTAGTTTAATTTAGTTTAATTTAGTTTAATTTAGTTTAATTTAGTTTAATTTAGTTTAATTTAGTTTTTTTAATTTAGTTTAATTTAGTTTAATTTAGTTTAATTTAGTTTAATTTAGTTTAATTTAGTTTAATTTAGTTTAATTTAGTTTAATTTAGTTTAATTTAGTTTAATTTAGTTTAATTTAGTTTAATTTAGTTTAATTTAGTTTAATTTAGTTTAATTTAGTTTAATTTAGTTTAATTTAGTTTAATTTAGTTTAATTTAGTTTAATTTAGTTTAATTTAGTTTAATGTAGTTTAATTTAGTTTAATTTAGTTTAATTTAGTTTAATTTAGTTTAATTTAGTTTAATTTAGTTTAATTTAGTTTAATTTAGTTTAATTTAGTTTAATTTAGTTTAATTTAGTTTAATTTAGTTTAATTTAGTTTAATTTAGTTTAATTTAGTTTAATTTAGTTTAATTTAGTTTAATTTAGTTTAATTTAGTTTAATTTAGTTTAATTTAGTTTAATTTAGTTTAATTTAGTTTAATTTAGTTTAATTTAGTTTAATTTAGTTTAATTTAGTTTAATTTAGTATAATTTAGTTTAATTTAGTTTAATTTAGTTTAATTTAGTTTAATTTAGTTTAATTTAGTTTAATTTAGTTTAATTTAGTTTAATTTAGTTTAATTTAGTTTAATTTAGTTTAATTTAGTTTAATTTAGTTTAATTTAGTTTAATTTAGTTTAATTTAGTTTAATTTAGTTTAATTTAGTTTAATTTAGTTTAATTTAGTTTAATTTAGTTTAATTTAGTTTAATTTAGTTTAATTTAGTTTAATTTAGTTTAATTTAGTTTAATTTAGTTTAATTTAATTTAGTTTAATTTAGTTTAATTTAGTTTAATTTAATTTAGTTTAATTTAGTTTAATTTAGTTTAATTTAGTTTAATTTAGTTTAATTTAGTTTAATTTAGTTTAATTTAGTTTAATTTAGTTTAATTTAGTTTAATTTAGTTTAATTTAGTTTAATTTAGTTTAATTTAGTTTAATTTAGTTTAATTTAGTTTAATTTAGTTTAATTTAGTTTAATTTAGTTTAATTTAGTTTAATTTAGTTTAATTTAGTTTAATTTAGTTTAATTTAGTTTAATTTAGTTTAATTTAGTTTAATTTAGTTTAATTTAGTTTAATTTAGTTTAATTTAGTTTAATTTAGTTTAATTTAGTTTAATTTAGTTTAATTTAGTTTAATTTAGTTTAATTTAGTTTAATTTAGTTTAATTTAGTTTAATTTAGTTTAATTTAGTTTAATTTAGTTTAATTTAGTTTAATTTAGTTTAATTTAGTTTAATTTAGTTTAATTTAGTTTAATTTAGTTTAATTTAGTTTAATTTAGTTTAATTTAGTTTAATTTAGTTTAATTTAGTTTAATTTAGTTTAATTTAGTTTAATTTAGTTTAATTTAGTTTAATTTAGTTTAATTTAGTTTAATTTAGTTTAATTTAGTTTAATTTAGTTTAATTTAGTTTAATTTAGTTTAATTTAGTTTAATTTAGTTTAATTTAGTTTAATTTAGTTTAATTTAGTTTAATTTAGTTTAATTTAGTTTAATTTAGTTTAATTTAGTTTAATTTAGTTTAATTTAGTTTAATTTAATTTAGTTTAATTTAGTTTAATTTAGTTTAATTTAGTTTAATTTAGTTTAATTTAGTTTAATTTAGTTTAATTTAGTTTAATTTAGTTTAATTTAGTTTAATTTAGTTTAATTTAGTTTAATTTAGTTTAATTTAGTTTAATTTAGTTTAATTTAGTTTAATTTAGTTTAATTTAGTTTAATTTAGTTTAATTTAGTTTAATTTAGTTTAATTTAGTTTAATTTAGTTTAATTTAGTTTAATTTAGTTTAATTTAGTTTAATTTAGTTTAATTTAGTTTAATTTAGTTTAATTTAGTTTAATTTAGTTTAATTTAGTTTAATTTAGTTTAATTTAGTTTAATTTAGTTTAATTTAGTTTAATTTAGTTTAATTTAGTTTAATTTAGTTTAATTTAGTTTAATTTAGTTTAATTTAGTTTAATTTAGTTTAATTTAGTTTAATTTAGTTTAATTTAGTTTAATTTAGTTTAATTTAGTTTAATTTAGTTTAATTTAGTTTAATTTAGTTTAATTTAGTTTAATTTAGTTTAATTTAGTTTAATTTAGTTTAATTTAGTTTAATTTAGTTTAATTTAGTTTAATTTAGTTTAATTTAGTTTAATTTAGTTTAATTTAGTTTAATTTAGTTTAATTTAGTTTAATTTAGTTTAATTTAGTTTAATTTAGTTTAATTTATTTTAATTTAGTTTAATTTAGTTTAATTTAGTTTAATTTAGTTTAATTTAGTTTAATTTAGTTTAATTTAGTTTAATTTAGTTTAATTTAGTTTAATTTAGTTTAATTTAGTTTAATTTAGTTTAATTTAGTTTAATTTAGTTTAATTTAGTTTAATTTAGTTTAATTTAGTTTAATTTAGTTTAATTTAGTTTAATTTAGTTTAATTTAGTTTAATTTAGTTTAATTTAATTTAGTTTAATTTAGATTAATTTAATTTTGTAAATTCTGCCAAAAATCCAATCTATTATTTCAAAATTTTATGATCACCCTGTATATTTAAGTAAACAAATGTAACAAAATATTTTAACAACAAACCTTACAAATTTATTTAATTCAAATTGTACCATGTTCAAAATGAAACCATAGTTCAAATAATTTTCTAACTTCGAATATATAACTATTATATCAATAAACATTCACTCCAAATTCACACTTTAGAAAAGAAAAACTAATTGTTGTAGCCTTCCTAGCTTGACGACTGTCACCAATGACAAATATGTTTTTAAAATTATGATTATGGCTGGTATTTATTTAAAAAAAAATTAAATAATAAACCTCTATGCTAATATTTACAATATTAAAGTGATTTTTTACTTCGTCCTGCACTTCTTTACAGTTTCTTTAACACAATTATTAAAATGTTTTAGTACTCACAGTTCTATCTTCAATTCAGATATTCTGCAATTGATTGCAGACTGGAGACTGGGGCTCTGCGAATGTTTTTATTGGATCCTGGTCCACGTTACAACACGATTTTGCCGCAAAACTTACACAAGGGTTCAATATACAATGGTTGTTACCTTCAATAAATTTGCTTACTTAACTCATCTTCTGTATCAAAATACTTTAAACTCTAACTGTATTTGTTGTATTTTTACTGAATCAATATTTTTTTTTCAAATTGAAAAATACCAAGACAAATTTTGCTGTCACCTTTTTTTTTTTTAACCGTCATTCCCTCTTTTCGCTGTTTATATTTCTTTTCTTAGTAACCACAACAAAAACCAATAAAAACTCCGAATGGTTTATAACATTAAAATTTTGTGCTTTAAGCTGGATATTTGGCTGAATTTAACTATTTTTGCTCCATATATAACAACATTATCAATTTTACAAATATTTTAAACCAAACATTGAGTTTACTTGTAATTATTTTCCTTTATATGACACCAATCAAAATAATATTCCCAATTTGTGACAACTTTGTCATTTGTATCGCTATCAAATGTGTGCTATATAGGGTGTTATTTTATTATATCTTATAACATTTTTTATATTATTATTTTTGTTATTATAATAGTTAAGTCATATATTCTTTCCATTGCAATATATATCGTAAGCGGATTGTAAAATCCGTCATATTATCATACGCCTAGGCGTATGATTATACCTCAGGCATATCATCAAACAGTCGAATTTATTCGAACGTCGAACAATACGCCTAGTCATAATATTTCGCCTAACAATTTTTTCGGCTTATCCTCAGACGGATGTAGGTATGCGTCCGTCACACAGTATGACGTAAAATTTATTTGCAAAAATATTAATTGTTTATAATACGAACACTTTATTAAGAATTCTTATAAAAACAATATACTATGGTAAAAACATTTTTTTAAAAACCATTAAACTAAATACAACAAATATACAGGGTATATAATGTTATTATTTATTTAAACATGGGCTGCTATTGTGACATCTGCTATTACATTTTAGCTGTACCTTGAAACAAAAGCAGCGTTTTGTGATGCACTGAGTGTTACTGCGTTTGCAGGAACACTTTTTAAATCCTTGGCCTTGAAAAAGAGATGATTGTCTAACAGCTTCTCTTAATGTAATGTCAACGTCTGGAACATTAATTAACTGAGTTGCTGAGGTCTGTGAAATTTCATTTCTTTGACACCATCTCTTAATTCTTCCATAGGAAGTCCCTATTTGGTAATTACAATCTTTAACCCTCAAAATGGTTCCTATTATGTTTTTTGTATCCAGTGGACCGTGATCCACTTTTGGAATGGCTATAGTGACCATATCTCCCACTTTCAGTTCAGTTAAAATATTCTTTGTGTCCGAAACCATTTTCTCAGCCGCTTTTCTTGGTCCTCTGATTCTTTTAAACCTTTCTTCGTCAATATGCTGCTCCCCTAAGCACAGATTATGTACTTCGTTGGGATCGTTATTTTTACAGATCAAGCAAGTATTCCTATTTTCCATATTCCCCTTGTTTTGTTCATTTTCTGCTATTATTACATAAAGGGTGAGTCTGAGATTTGTATTGGATTGATTTGTATTTGATTATAAGCTTCGTCATGACCAACGAAAGATACTTCTTCAATTACTACGTTTGAAATATCCTCATTTTTATTTTGATCTGCAACATCCGAAATTTCATTGTTATCTTCGATATCCATGCTCGAATTTTGATCAAAAACCACAATTTCATTGTTATCTTGGATATCCATATTTGTATTTTGGTCTTCAATATTCATATTGTTAGCTTCAATCCCATTTTCCAAATAACCATTTTCCTTCAAGACATTTTGTAATTGCTCTCATTTTCTATTTCGTTAATTACTTCAGTAGGTAAGCTTATGGAATTTAAACCAACTTGAAAATCAACCCCAAATAGCGCTTTATATGGAGAGCGTCCTATTATTCTATAAAAAGATGAGTTCTTATGCCATTGTACATAATTACTAGTATACTCTAGTCCAGCGGTCCTCAAAGTGTGCTCCGCGGAGCCCTAGGGCCCTGCAAAGCCTCTGCAAGGGTTCCGCGAAAATACTAGTCATAATAATTAAAAAAAAATACTAAACCAGTACTATAAGGTTACAGAGTAAAATAAAATCCTCCATCTAAATATTTCAACATAAAGTTTAAAACAACAGTGTTCGAGTTATTTGTGTTGGTGAGAGAGAAATAGGAAGCTTTTCATTGCTCAGTGAGTTTGTTAGCGACTCAGAAATATTTCAAAATGATGTTTGAAGAAGTGGTTCAATATCTCATGCTATGCTCATCTTTTGAGGTGTATTTTCTCGAAGAACAAAATACAAAAATTAAAATGAATTCATTGATTCAAAATTCGAAAGCATGTCAAACGAGATTTATGAATCATTTTTAGAAATGACATTAGATACAAGTATGAAATCACTGTTCAAAACAATTTCTTTGAATGATTTTTGGTGCAGGATTTATGATGAATATCCACAACGTGCCAGAAAAGTTCTGAATGTTCTTCCGTTCCCAACATGATTCTCAACATATGCAGCTACAAAAACAAAATACCGCAATAGACTTGATGCCGAACCTGAAATGCGACTTCAACTCTATTTTATCAAGCCTGACATTAAATAATTGATGAAAATTAAAAAAAAATTTCATGCCCCCTTCATTAAATGCAAATGATGTTAAGTAATATGAATATTGTTTATTATTTTATGGCTCCGTCAAATATTTCGCTTTCCAAAAGGGTTTATAGAGTTTTTAAAGATAATCCAAAACAGGTGCAAATTCGTGAAACAGGTTCTTTGTTAAAAAATCAAGTAACTTTTTGTTTCATCCATTTTACATCTAAACAACAGAGAAAACGAATGGGATATTTCCCAGACTTTACAATTTCATTGTGTGTATATTACTAAATTGTATAGAATTTCTGACTACAAAACCTAGGCACAATAATATGATCATAATACATTTCTTCAAATAAAGGAACCAATTTTTACTATATTAAATAATTTATTGATTTTTAAATAAAATAGTTTTTTTAACACACTTCTTACTCGATTTTCCTACAATAAAAATGTTTTATGGTGAATTCTTATTCCAAAATAACTTTTTTAAATTAATTTAATGAACTATAATGGATGTTCATTTAATGGATCGTTTTCACAGATAGTATTGTAATAATCAAATCCATTATTGAAAATACTTCTTATTATACAAATAGATTTTTTGTTGTTTAAAATATCTCAAATATCGTTCACCAGATTTGCAAATTTGGATTACAAATTTTAAAGCATTTATAATTTTTTCATAACATTTTCTTTTTTGGAGCTGTGAAAATATTTCTTTTCATTCAAGCAATTGCAAACAATTATTGCAAACAATACACTTTTTAATGCATTTTACAACGAAACCCGATACATAGGAAATTATGTCTTCCAAATATAAAGATAAATGCCATGAAGGCGCACTGGCATAATCATGATCTTGGCATAATTTGAACATTTCAATAAAGTCGTTTTCATTTTCTAGATCTTCTCTTAAAATAGTAGTACAGTCCGTAGCAATAGTATTTCCCATGTTATTCCCCTTAATTTCGGCATGAATTAATAATTTTTTATAAATATATTCGAATTGGCGGCGTGTGGGATTGTCATTAAAAACACCTTTGCTGCACTAAAAAATACTTCCAGATGGTCCTGAGATAAGTTAATATGTAATTTAGTAGTGGTGTTTTTTTATATAAGTTTCATACATTAATGTTAAACTTTCACTATTAACTAAATACCCTACAAACCCAGTTTTTCGCCTAGTGATTAAAATGGAATTGTCATTATGTTTTAAAGACAATATATATTGTATGCATTTTGGTAAATATTGAAATATTTTGGAAACTATATTTAAAAAATTTTGATCTGCTGTTAAAAATATCAAAAATATTATTGGCAATTTCACAGAATTAAGAGGTGGCGCCTGCTTCTTGAAATTCAGTTAAATTTAAATCGTTTTCTAAAAAAGAAAGCATCAGCCACACTTTTACTGAAGGTCTGAGCAGCTATTTTTACTTTTTGTTTTTCATTATTCCATTTTATGTGCCTTTTCATAATTTTCGTTGCAGGGTGCATGCGCTCTGTGTTTTGAAGATTTACTAAATTTTTAAAATACTCCCATCTAATATATTTCAAATTATTATTCTGCAAAACTTTATAAGAAGCCAAACAATTGCGCCAGAGTTTGATCATGTGGCTAGAATCCAAAAATATAAAAATTGGCTCTTTATTTATTGGGTGCTCAAAACTTGTTTTTAATTGAGTAAAATCTCCAAAATCTACCCCCAAATATTCACACATTGATATATTTGCTTTTAGGCCCCCAAAACGTTACTTTAAGTTCGGTTGTCCCTGATGTCAACCTTGTAGCTCCAGTTCACTCAAGTGCAGAAGGGAATTGGTGATTACTTCGTAATCAGGGAAAAATATATTATTTTAGCTGTTCTGTTGAATTGGACGCCAGGTAGATCTACTATACCAAGCCACTACAAATCAGGAGAGTCCTACTTTTAAACCTACCAAATAAATAGGAAAATAAAAGACAACCTTCACTCAAACCTTGTTTATTTCCTAATTGGAAGATAGTTTGTCTTCCCCCTTAGTTAATGACCCCCTTTACAATTAGAGCGCTATTAGCGACTTCAAACAATTCATATATTCATATATTCATGTATTCATTTATTTTATTTACATACCTAAGGGCTAATCGTAACCCCAAATTAATACCAGTATATAAAATATTTTAGCGCAGTGTACAGAAATTAGACAGGGTTAGTTCATTGAATCTCAATAAAATCAATAATATTACTTGTCAATACCCCACGGTCATTAGCGTTGGATCCAAGGCGAAAGACATATTAAGCGCAACTCATAGAAAAGGTTATCTTCATGTAATATTAAAAATCCTGTAATTTCTGTATATTACAGAAGTTCATATCCAATACACTTATAAACTAAAATAGTATTTGTCACTAAACAATGTGAAACATACTCTTATTATAAAACACTCTATGAAATATGATATATGAACTAACCATGAAAACATAGGCAATGAGGGCATTTAATAGCATATGAACACAACGTTATTTATTCAAATAAATTCATAAAGAAAACTGTATACATATACGTATCAGTAGTAGACTAAATAATAAACCCCAAATTATAACCGAAATGATAGAAAAATAAATACAGAATTTCCACTTATCTTCTGATCCGTCCTATTCAAGGCTAGCGTTGCCGCCTGTGGCATGTAGTCCTATGATGCCGAATCTCTGCTGTTCTAGTAAAGTAGATGAAGTGTTCGAACCCCAAAATGGCTGTTCTTCGTTAAAGAGGAAGTACATAATCTTCAACGTTACTAAGAAGTAGTATCATCAATACCAGTCAGGAAAACGCTAGTACTAGGCAGTATCTTCACTACCAAACAACTGCACCGTACCCAGCAACAGTAGCAAGCAACACCGGTACCAAACAACACCGGTACCAAGCACCCTAAAATGTACAAACCTAATTACAATCTGATAACCTAAATCGATCCCGCCCCTTTATCTCTTGAAAATTAATGTGAATTAATTGAACCTCCCAGAGGGTTGAAATTATTGCCTGTCTAAGTAAAGACTATTCAAGCAAAGCATCAAAAGTTCCCAATTAAAAATGTAAAACTATACAGTATAACCTGTTCCCCATATTCAACCCCCTTAAAATCTGATAGAATCTGTTATTAAAAATGAATGAATATTTACAATTTATCAAATAAAAAACAAAGAATAAAACCAACCTCTATTCCGGAGAGTGTAACTTCGAATCAAACAGGAAATGAAATCTGCTAGAACTTCTTAAAAACCAATTCTCCCTTCAATATATGACCCAATTACGGTCGGTCTCCAACCATCAAACTGCTCCAGGACGACGAATGGGTTGAACTTCAATATTCAATGCTCCTCAAAATGAGATGAGAAAGCCGGCACACAATCACATAAAAAAAATAACGGTCTAACTACGCGTTAACCAACTTCAAAACGTACCATCAATGCTTTCCATAAAATAGAGACACTTTTATTAGACTCCCCACGCGGGATGATATACAAAATCACATAAAAAAAGTAAAAAGTCTCTCAGCGAATTTTCAGTTCAACACCGCCATTAACATTCCCTGTTGGAGTGGAAGACGAATCTGCCACGTGTTACAAATTGCCCGTTCTTCGCCCCCTATCATGAGGCATCGACCGCGCAGAATCACTTCAAAGAAAACCCATTAAAACCAATCGCCGCTCTCCGATCTCTAGAAATTATTGTTGGTTACACTGTGCGACCAATGACCTCCTTCATCTGCTAGAATGCGACCATTCGCATTCAGGCTGAAAGCTCTGTTAGCCCTGCTCGACCAATAAGAAAACCCAAAAACATACCCATGAAATGCAAACATCGCTTAACGAGCATTCCTTGGTTCACGAATCGCTGGCGTATGAATCGTGGTCAAACATACGTCGTCCCTTGATCCTCCGTCAAGCAGAGAGAGAGAGGCATTTCCTAAGAAACACTTATCGAACAAAGATAGACATCTCGAAATGCGACAGGCATACTTCCCTTATTTTTTTAGTTTTAACCTACAAAATACCAAAAACATTGTAAACAATACCTCTAAGAGTGAAAACTACTATTGAAAATCATAGTGAAATTCAGTGTAACCTTGTAAAAATTATGTGAGCCCTAAGAAGGAACATTTACACCAGTTACGCTAAATCCCATTTGAATAA